GGCGAGTCAGGGTGGAGCGCGTAAGGGAATTCCCGGGCGATCCCGGGTGAGTTAGGGTGTAATGTTTCTATTCTATGTGAGGAAGATAAAAGTAATGAAGAGGGTGGTGAAGATGAAAATGTAGATGGTGATGAGGATGAAGAAAAGGGTGGTGAAGGTGAGGATGTTTGTGAGGATGAGAATGGTGATGAGGATGAAGGTGGAGATGAGAGAGATATTGGAGGGGATGAGTTGATCGAGAACTCAATGCCCCCTCCCCCCGCCCCTCCCTGGTTTTCGCGGCGTTTTTTCAGATGTGCATGTTTGTTGGTGGACGTGTTTGGTGACCTATTGACCTATTGACCTATTGTTTCCAGTTTTTCATTTTGTTTCAGTGTCTGCGGTCTGCTGGTGCGGGGCCTGCCGTGGCAGCGTCGGTGTAGATCTATGTCTCTTGTGTTGAGTCGATTCCCATCGGGAACACGGCGGCAGCCTTAGCCTTAAGTTTAAGTTTTAGTAAGAGTTTTACGGTACTTACAACACAATAAGGTCATAGAAGTGGCGAAGATTAGAGGTGTTACAAGAGAGTAACAGACACAAAAAAGAAGGAGAGATCAGGACGCTAGACGTTTGATAAGAAAGAAGAAGCAAGCCACACCACGGCACCTGCCATTCAACCACCCACTTCTTTAGTCGGGAAAAAGTGCCCTCGAACTTCGCCCGGTGAGTCAAGATGGCCTTTTCTTGTGAATACACCGGGTGTCCTCCTTGCTGGCGCCCAGGAACTGAGGAGCAGGCTTTCCCCGAGTGTCTCCCCTTGCCACACACAGTGAGGACAAACAGTGTCCCTCCTTACCACACACAGTGAGGACAAACAGTGTCCCTCCTTACCACACACAGTGAGGACAAACAGTGTCTCCCCTTACCACACACAGTGAGGACAAACAGTGTCCCTCCTTACCACACACAGTGAGGACAAACAGTGTCACTCCTTACCACACACAGTGAGGTGAGGACAAACAGTGTTTCTCCGCCATTTTCGTTTCCTATGTCCAAGCGCTGACAATTAAAGCAAGGCACCGGGTGAGGAACGCATGGTTTAACTTCCTGTTCCAAGTATTCGACGGTCAGTTTGGTTGGTGGGAGATCTTGGACAATCAAAAGACAATACCCATTTGAAGATCACAGGGGGAACAACGACTGTATTCACAAACTGGAAATTGTGAGGGTATCAATTTTAAAAGCTTGTGGACTCATAACTTCATTTGGATTTACTTGGGTCTGGGGGTGCCGCAGGCTCTGAAAAAACAACAACAAACAAATAGGCGAAATGGTATAGGTTTAACGCCCCTATCAACACTATTAGGTTATTTAAGAGGTGGGACCTTCCAGTTTAACGCCCATCTCCGAAAGGACCGAGCCAAACGGAACATTCGTGTAACGTGTCTTTCACAGGGACACAACGGGTCCGGTAGTCTAACCTCTAGGACTCAGCCACCGACGCCACCGACGCTCGGAATGTTTGGCCAATGGCAAAGACGCTCCAGGATGTTACTTTCTTTGTCTAATCAGCTGAGGAGATCGCCAAGTAAGGTGACCATCCTAGCGTTGTCTGCTTAACTAGGTCCCAGATAATTTTATCGGATTCCCTCAGTCTTTCTCGTTTGCCCCGGTCAGGATTTGAACCCGTTCCTCCTGACAGGGACTTGCTAAGAATTGGGGTGATTAGTTTTAGTTAGGTTTTACGGCGCACGCAACTACATAAGGTCATAATATGAGCGCCAAGGGATGGATGTCAACAGAGAAGTCCTTACAGGGAATCAGACTTACTCTGCTCA